TAGTTGGCTGCTGCTGTGGCACCTGAGAGAATATCAGATACCACATAATATACGTCGAACGATAAACATCTTTTTACCCCCAACGCCGTTCAGCGACAAAATATTAAACTGTGGACTGCTCGAGGGCCCCGAAATAGCGCTTCGAATAACCCCCCACATGAACGGCGTTACAATTCCCACCTCGAATGATTTCAGATTCCGCCACCTGTCCACCATCTTTGATAAATGGGCATCTGAGACAGCTACACGCGTCCAAATAATGCATTCAATATTTGGAGGTATAGAAAGGAGCAAATTAGCAAAGAGAGTCCCTGTGACATCAGAGGGAAAGCCATCCATTTTTAAAGTTTGTAGATTTGGACACGCTGAGATCAACTGATGTGCAATCTTTGTTTGAGCCAGCCATGCAGCGGCCTGTTCAAATGGAATGGTAGTGGTTAATGCCTTGACCTGTTTGCATCGTTGGACAGACCGGATTTGGCAGGCTAGGGTCTGTTATGTGTGTCAGACGCGAAACATCGAGAATGCGCACCAGCTTCAAGATTCTTCTCGACTTGTCTGCAAGAAGAAGCGCAATGTTGTTGTTGTGGCGGTTGTCGAACTGTGGCGCTCGGTTCAAGACCGGCAGGAGTTTCTCAGCCAACCCACGAGACACAAGCGCGAGCTGCAGGACTTCAGACGCGCGGAGCGATTCGGTGACAAGAAACAGAAGCTCGGGGACTAGGAGGACGCGGGGTGTCATTCGTTCTGCTGGCTTCGTTTCAAGTGCTTCGATTCAGTTAAAAACAAACAAACAGAAACTTGCAACACGCATTTTCGTAAGCTGCTTCTTGAGTATTTATCAGTTCCTTTTTTTGATATTTTAATCTTTAAACAAAGAATGGAAGATCCACATTCAGAAACAGCTGCCCGCTACGAAGCCCTTGTAGACAGCGAACACGTGTGGTCCGCACGCGACATTGGAACAAACGCCATCGCTGTAAGAGCTTTTGCGACTTGGACCTGGGACTGATCAGACGCAGGGCATTATCACCGATCCCACGAAGCCAAATGCCAGTCGAGCTCTGAAGGGAATGGACGCTCTGCCAATGATTCCTCCCACACAAATGCGAAGGGTTAAACCGCAGGAATTTGAACCGTACGAGAAGATGCTGGAGCCGGTTCTTGACAGGTACCGACTATTGCAGATATCCAAGAGCCTAACACTCAACGGGCATTAGATACATGATTAATCAAACCCTCGGTGCGGCTGCGATTGAAGGGGCCCCTATGCTTGGATCGCTGGAACAGCAACTGGAGAGCGGCTCTTTTATCGATCTTGTGATGGCAACTGAGAGAATTCTAGTTGACAACACGCGAAAGTAATACGCTTTTGAAAGGCGTGACAAAACTAATAATAATGTTCTAGGAACCAGCCTGATCGCAGCACTCACCGCAGGCTGCTTGCCGCCCATGCACCACCCTTGGATACTGTTCCTGAGCTTTTCTTCTCCAAAGACTTCAAACTTGGAACCCCTGCCACATTTTCGGATGTATATGAAAAGGCGGATTTTAGCAAGTTGTCGGTGCAAGACGTGAATCTGACTTCCTCCTTGCTTCAGAATAAGTTGGGGGTGTTCTGTGACACGGTGGACGTGTATCTTGTGAAGGAGATCTCAAAACGCTCGGTATTTGTTATCTCGGACATGACACAGTGCGATTTTACTGACTCGTGTAAAACAGGCATCTTTTTTTAACGCACTTTCAACTCTTCAAGCCCTCCACCTTGAAACGCAGTCATGCATTGATCAAATTCACCACCTTCGGGAAAAAATGCGCACTCTCACAGAAAATACCATCTCTCCCGGTCTTACAGTGTCCAGGCTTCACACACGGAAAGACAATGTGCAAAAACTACATGACGCTGTGGAAAAAATCTTCAAAGTTCAAAGTAATCAGGAAGTTATTGACGCCCTTATTCGTCAGAAGGCATTTGTCGACGCGTTGGAGTTAGTGGAAGAATCAATGAATGAGTTGAAGGATCTAGTGGGCCCCAACCACACAGCCCCAGTTGCGGAGTCGGTTCCAGAAAATGGAGGCACTTCTATTGCAGCAAATACTTTGGGGAAAGCAGGCGAAGGAAAGTCAACGGGGTTAACAATCAATACCTCAACCACAGAGTCCACCCAACCTGGAAGCGATCCCAGCAGCTCAACCGAGGCAGAACAAGAAGCGCCACTTGTTCAATATCTGTATAATGAACTTACAAGGAAGGCAGTCGCTCTGGGAAGTCAAATGGAGACTGAGTTTGGCGATTCCTTGTTGGCCGAAGTTCGCGATATTGCCTCCCAAATTAATTCATCGTCAAACTTGGCTCCATCTGTTGTTGGAACTGGAGTTGAAGGATGGGTGAAAAATATTCTTTTGAAGAAAAAGGGTCAGCCAGTAGTCAAGGTGGATGTAGGCAGGTCCAGCAGTGAGGCCTTGGCTTTATTGGATGAAGGATTGCTTGTTCGATTGACTCCTATTGTTTTTGGACTGATTCGGATCAACAAGTTTGGTGCTTGTCTCCATCAGTACAAGCTGTTGCTCATGAAAGAGATAAAGAAGCTGACTAAGAAGGTATTTTAGAAAAAAATTCCGTTTGAAGTACCGAAACAGGCATTGTTCTCCATAGAATTACCCAGTTCCTCCAGCTGAAATAAGCGGCGGCGGGGTTGTCACAACTTCTCCGACCTCTCCCACATCCCCTATGTCGCCGACGTCGCCGACTTCAAAAAAAGAACTTCAAACGTATGCAATGCACAATATTTCTACTGATTCTTTATGTCTAATGCATCCCTTATTAGCATTCTGGCAAAACAGCTGAAGCAAATGTCTTTCGATTCGTTCCTCGACCTTCTAGTCTCAATCTACACAGTTCTATTGCACATATTCCAAAAGTCTTCATCTATTCACGCTATAACAGCTGCAATCATTCATAAAGCAGAAGAACAAGGCATCCACATTGGTCCGTCCTCTTCTGTTTCGAGCTCATTGGAGCAACTTCAGAAGAAAAAGAAGGCGGAGGACGATGACGATGACTTTGGATCCGGAATGGATCTGTTTACCTTAGACCCCACAACAGATGCTCTTATGGCCGAAAAGAAAAAAGAAGAAGAGCAGCAAAGGATTGATGCGACGGGCTTCACACAACTCATATCAGAGTCGAACGAAGTATTATTAGCCATCAGCGAAGCTGCAAACGCTCGTTGCGCAAAGTTACTTGCTGTTAGAAGCGACCAAAACGCAAAATTAAGTCCGAAGGATTTCTACAGATTGTTGGGCGCGACTAGGGAATTTATTGCGGCCAGCGAGTATTTATGCGGATACCATTGTATAAACTTGAAAGGAGCATTGTTGTCTCAGGTACAATTTTTGAACTTTGGAGAGTTGTTCACTTAACTTTGTTTCAAGGCGAAGTCCTTTTTGAATCATTTCCATGACGAGAGAACCAAGCAGATTTCGATTGTCGTAGAAAACGAGCAATGGTCTAGGGCAGAAGTTCCGATTGATTTCCAACTAATGTCAGAGGAGATAACAGTTGCAGGAGCGCTTGCCATTGAGAAAATGAAAACTGCAGCTCAGTCAGAAAATGAAGACGATCTGAATGATAGCGATTTGGCAGCACTCGTTATTGCCCACAAGCAGGCAGCTGCGGCTGCATCCGAGGACGAACTTGTGACAAGTGGAAGAGTCCTTAAAGTCGCCAACGAAACATATTCAGTGGCTGGTTGCGTGCTACTTTTGACAAAGATGTTGACAGAGTATTTGCAAAGCGTGGATAATATTCCCAGTTTGGCGACAGAGATTTTAAATAAGACACTTGATTTATTGAAGGTAAAAGTCAATTCTTTATCGCTAATCGAATTTAAACGTTGGCACAAGGTTTTCAATTCCCGTATTTGTCAAGTTATTCTCGGCGCTGGCGCAACAAAATCAGCCGGTTTGAAAAACATCAATGCTGGGCATATAGGTTTGTGAGCAAAACCGTTTAGTACCAATTCTAAGCACTCAACCAGCTCTCACCGCACAATCTCTCGGGGCTGTCATTGGATACATCCCGCATTTAAAGGCGGCGATTGGGCACCACGTTCCTGCAAAACAACAGGGTCTCTTGGTGGACTTTGACAGAATCCTCAAAGATTACAAGGAACATCAAATTGCATTGTACGATAAACTGGTTACAATTATGCAAGAAAGACTTTCCTATCATGCGAAAAATCTCTTGGTTCGTTGTTTTTTTACGACGCGGTTGTATTTCTGGGCAGGATTTCCTTAACTGTATAAACTAGTCTGTTAATTGGGACGCGCCAGACAATAAGGATATGACTGCTGATCAAAGTTGTAGTATTCATATGGCGGGATTGATCAAAGAAACTCAAACCATGCACCGCGTTTTGATGAAGTTTCTGCCAAAGGCTGTCCTACAAAATGTTATGGGTCAGATCTTCAAGGCCTACAACAAAGGATTGGAAGAAGAGCTTAAAAATATCGAGCTATTTACAAGTGCTGGAAAAAACAGGTGTGTGAGTGTTTTGGTTTTGCCCTTCTATGTATTCAACCTTTGGCTTCCATAGGCTTTTGATGGACGGGCAGCATTTGATGGCCGAATTATCGGCCTTGGATAATGTCGATGGCCCAGGAAACAGCATTGAAGTGACAATCAACAACATCAAGATCAGAGACAAAAGCAGAGAAGAAAGCAAGTACAGCAACGGCGGCGACTGGAAATTTAACAACATCAGCCACTGGCACTACTTCATCGGTTGGAAAGCCGGCGAATGCAACGACACCAACAGTTGCTTCTGGCACCAAAACAAAGAATTTATTTTCAAAGTGGAAAGACTGATGAATAAACAATCGACAGAGACATTCAAAAAGATTTGTTTAAGAAAGCAAGATTGAAGCCATTATTCCTGCTCATTAAATGCATAATCATTTGATTTAATAAGTGTTGTATAAACCACATGTAAGTATATGACTCCTTGGCGCAACGGTAGCGCGTTCGTCTCCAAAGCGAAAGGTTGCGTGTTCAAATCACAATCACGTAGGGGTCACTATTTGCAAAATTTTTGTCGCCAGTCTCCTGCAGTTCGTACACTTCCTGCAACATTTGAACAAAAGTCTTTGTCTGAACTTCAAAAGAAACTTTATCGACAGCATCCAAACGAATAGAAGAAAGTGAAGATTTACAGAATGGAGATCATTACACCAACAAACATTACAATCGCGTTTATCGGGCCATATAGCTGGTAGATTTTGCGATCTGTATCAAATTCATTTTTATCTTTTGACGGCAGGTATCCTGGCCTTACATTTGATGGACCACTCGTGACTGGTGGGTGGGAACAGCTTGATATTGCCCAGTACAGTGACTTCTATGGCATAAACCTTGCCAACTACTTCTTTTGGTATGATTTTGGTGCAGCTGTAAGTTGAACTGGAGGGAATTATTGTGTGTTTTAACACTGTTTGTGCAGCTCGCCGTTCAACACTTGAATGATGGAACCAAGCCTATACTTCCAGGAGCCCACATTAATATTAAACGATTCAATAACTATGACCCCAATCGAATTACTGACAAAGGGGTGAACGAAAAATTTGATAGTGGTGGATTTGCAATGACGACTGTCAAGGTAATTGAAGAAGAACATCCAGGTGACTTCAGGTGTTGATGTGGAATATCAACCGGAAAATTTGACATGTAATTATATCAGATGTTGTGGCTATATATGGAGATTATCTCGTCAATTCCGCTGTGTACGTTTTTGTCAAACTAATTGGAGTTGATTCTGAAAGATGACAAAAGATACACGGCAGCAGTATCCACGCTTTTCAAACTCCCGTATATCAATCCAGCCGCATGGTCTTACCCGCTTTTGGACCGCAACAAATACGGTTACGCAGTTCAAATGAACACAAGTTGAGTTTTGTTTGAACCTAGACCAACTGCTCATCTTGTTTAAAGTGTTTGGCATTGGAAAAGCGATATCCATACTGTTGAAGGAATGGAATGTCCGACGGGTCGCCGTGATGTTTCCACGAAACTCAAAAACCTGGTCTGCGGCTGCAATGGAGGTACTTCAGACGCTTGAATCACACCGCGTCTCAATTCTAGCAGTTTTGGACGTGAATATGGGAGATGACGACGCAGGAATAGCATACTTGAAAATCGCATTACAAAGAGTTGATGCACGGTGAGTTTTTGAATTGAATCGACCAAGAAGTTTTAAATTCGAAATGAGCAGATATATTATTATCTTAGGTGATAATAAAAAAGTGGGTCAAGTATATTATGGCTTATCAAGGTGAGGATACATACTGTTTATGATTGTTGTCGTAACCACAAAACTCAAGGTTACAAGCCTCGATTGGCAAAGACTACGTATGGATTGGTATGAACTATCCCATACAAAAGTCATATTCATCGATTGATAATAATGGCAAGTTTGACGCATCGCGTGGATTTGTTTGCCTGATTGGATTCAATGAATGGGACAAGTTTATGGAAGAGTACAATGCACAATTTCTGGATCAAGTCAACAACATTACTTCACCATCTGGGTATAGTGAGTTTTTAAGTTGATTCTCCGTGTTAACGTTTGTTTCAGAGTTTTTGTTGATTCGATTGCCGCCTGGTATGTGAATATACCTCCAGCATATGACTCTATAATGGTATTAGCTACAGCTTTTAGAAAGGTTTTTGTCTTCTTATAGGTTTGAAAATTTGCACTCATTCCTCACAACAGCTTATTCAACACATCGAAAGCGGAACCATGTTACTTGCGTCCAGGTCTTTACAGGATCTCATGAATTCAACTTTATTTGAATCAACAGGCTATCGTGGAATGTCTGGCAGTCCTCTTCAACTTTCAAAGTTTGGAGATCTGCAGTCAACATTTAACTTCGTGTCGATGACAGGAAATGCCTCGACGGCTGAATCAATTACATTTGCATTCACGGATGTGAATCAGACTTCTTATATTACTCGCCCCGGGCGCCTGCCTGTGTTTTATGATGGCTCTTCGACACCTCCGTCTGATGGTACAAAAAAGCAGCACGAAATATTGATATCACCGACTGAAGTATTAGGAGCCACTCTTATTGGGATGATTTCCTTTGGATTAATTCATGCCGCACTTTGTCTAATTCTCGCGATTGTCTTCAGAAAGACCAAAATGCGCCAAGGGTCAACTGTTTTCCAATGTAGCATTTGTTTAGGATCCATTATTTCATTTCTTGGCCAATTGACATATTTGAATCGCGTGTATGATGATTTGTGTGCTCTGCGTGCATTAGCCTTGCTGGGGTCTCTAGCGATTATTTCAAGCAGTCTAATTGCAAAGACCCAGAGAATCATCATAATCTTCGCATCCAAAACAATTCTTCCCAACTATTTAGTCAAAGATGGTATTTATGTTGCTATGGCCAGTTGTCTTGTGTCTGTCTCTGTGCTGTTATTGAATGTTTGGAATGCTCGATCGCATCCTTTTGCTACAAAAGTACAGCTGTCTGAAACAAGTTTCATGTATAAATGCACTTCAAAGTTATGCGATGATTGGACTGTTGTCTTGCTCTGGATTTTCAATGGGGCGCTTCTACTTACTGTTGGAGTCTTCGGATGTTTGACTTGGAATGTTGCTCCAAAGTATAACCAATCGACATCTCTGTGCGCTTTTAGCATCCTAGGAAGCATTTTAACGATAAGTTCGAGTCACGTAAGCCTATCATCGCCTTATATCCAGCATGAAATTCAAGTTCTATCGGCTTGGTGTCTGACAACCTTTGTTTTGGCCTTTGAATTCACTCCACAGATTTGGAGTCTCCTGCATAGTAACCGCCAACTGATTGCAAATCCTCCTGTCACATCACTTTCGTCATCACGGCGCTCTATAGAGACCCTTAACAGGAAACGGATTCTTGAAGCGAATTTTCCAGTTACTTTCAAAATGAAGGATTCAAAGAATGCACTCTTATGGAGTCAATGGATGCGTGCATCTGTGGTTGTGCATCGAGTGGATGGCGAAAAGGTGCATTTAGTGTTTTTGCCAAACGCAATCGGCCAACGGGCATTTGCATTTTGTGCGTCCAAGAAATCAATTGCTCTTGAGTTTGAATTTTTGACGCGTCTGAAATTTGACGGTGTTCTCTGGTTGCTTGTTTTGGATTTTGAATTGGAAGCGGATTTAGCCAACTTCCAAAACTTCTGGAAATTTTTGTGATATCTTATAGAGTAATTGGTATTGTAAAAGAGTTTGAAGAGTATATTTATTTAATCGTCAAAGTCAGCCCCATCATTATCATCACAAAGCAAAGCCAGTGCAAGTTTTCTCGCCATTTCCTGTCGCTTGCCATCACTAACATCAGAACCCGACTCCCGAAGACTTTTGATTTGAGACAGAGCTTTCTCGAAAAACTCATCATCATTCACATCCCCAAACAGAGCAGATCTCAGCTCTCTCATTTCTTGAGAAGCAGAAGCCGCGTCAAATTCATCAAATTCCGGCAAGTTAAAATCCTCACGACCAACGGCCTGATCGACTGAAAGAATTGGGGGAACTAATTTCCCATCCATAAATGCGCCAAATTCGTCATCATTCATATCGCTGGTATTCATGTCTATCTGTGCCATCAGTCCAGCTAGTGATTCCTCTTCACGTCCCAAAACGCCTTTCAGATCGAGATAGTCGTCTTCATCATCTCCGAACTCGGCCGCAGCCGCTTTCTTCCAGTTTTTTTCAGCGGGGACAAAATGAAGAGAATCGTCTTCGGCAGAAACAGCAATCTCGTGCTGTTCGAGTTGCTGAGTTTGACGAGTTTGTTCCCCTTTAGCCTTCATCACCAAGCCGCCCCACGCATTCGCTTCGAGCGCTTGCCGAACACGAAGCCAAGCATCTTCGCCTTCTTCGGCGGCAACTAACTCGGCTGACTGATGCGCAGCCCAACTCGATGCTCGGTCCAGAAGAGCCTCAGCGGCAGGACTTGATTCCGTTGGAGAAGTAGAAAGAGCCTGAACATCAATCAAAAGTGAAACGTTTGGCTGTTACGGTTTTTTGTTTGTTAGTAGCTATTGGTAGAGTAACTGAAACCCCAACCTGAACTTCGTCAATAAAAGACGCCCAGCCAATCACCGCTTCGAATGTTGGTGCAGCTTTAGAGTCAAACAGCAGAACGAGCCCATCAACAGCTGAACCAACTGAAGCCACGAACTGATTGATTGTAGCTGGATCTGTCGTTGTCTCTACAGTATCCATCCACAGCCGTACATCACACGTGTAGTACTTTGTATCTATTGTCCATGCCACGACCGATTCGTTCGAAGCAACAGGTGTTCCAGTCAACTTTTGGACAAAGGAGGCTTTGGAGATTTCAGCTGATCCTAGAATGAGAATGGCGTTTTTGGACATACTTTATAATTAGATGATTCCAAATATACAAATGCTCTTGGAAGTTTAGAAGCGTTGAAATAATATTGTGCCCCACGATTCCTTCATTTGAAACTTCCGAAAATGTCCATGTAAGGATGACATGCTCAAGTGGCGGACCGTTGCAAAAGCTCACAACCGCATTCATTCCCCTAGTACTTGCACCCTCGGCGATATTCTTGAAATCCTTTTGGCCATCTTCTTCAGCCCGCTTGCCGTTCTCGTCAAGGAAGGCTGCGGATGGGACTTTGTGCTCAACATCATTCTCTTCTGTTTGGGTGTTCTTCCAGGTAAAGCAGCTTGTCGCAACGATGGCAATAAATGATTAGTGGTGGGGTTTGCTGCTAATGTGCGTTTGTGTTCAGGAATGGTTCATGCTTTGCTTGTTCTTCAGAACCACCAACGCCGTGCAGTCCATTACACTGTCGTTTAAGAGAGTCTTCTTCCGTTGATTCTCCTTTCCACAAAGATGCATCATGCTCCCCAAATGTGGTTCAAACAATAAAATTACTTTACGTGAATGTGTGGAGCGTTGCCTGAACATCCTGTTGCACCTCACCTTGAAGACAGCCTCTGGAACCACATCCATGATGTTCATTGTCATGTAATCGATACATTGGAAACTTTGCCAT